TATCTATTAAATCTTGAAGATAGGCATCACATGACCTTGCCAAAGGGATGCACTCTGCCCCAGACAACCTTCTACCTCTTTAACTGCACTGTCTGGCCTCTGTTGTGTGTAGGCTCCCCCTGACCTGCAAAGCACTTAAATGTCAGTGTTACTCAGGGTTTTGATCCTGCTCCTCCTTTTATCCTTATTCTACACATTTGCCCTAGGTAATTTCATCTGATTTCATGGCATCAGCTTCCACCTATTCAGTGATGAAGTCCAAATCTACGTATGTAGCCCTGACCTGTGGCCTCCATAACCATGTTTCAATGAATTCTTAGACATCTGTGCCTATATAGCCTCCAAGCACTTCAGCCTCAATATGTTCAAAACCAAATTTATTTTCATGCCCAGAGACCCTGATCTTTCTCCTGCTTTCCTGTTTTTAGTTAATGGTTTCACCTTCATCCATTTACCTAAGGTAGAAATCTAACCTCATTGTCATTCTTGATTACTTCCTCTTTATTTACTACAATTCCTGGTGATTCCATCTCCTACATTTTGTATTTATCCCCTTCAGTCCATTTCCACCCCATCGCCTTGGTGTGGACTCTCATCACCTCTCCCCTGACCTCTTGCAGCAACCTCTTAACTGGTCTTCCTCAAATATTTTCACCTTTCTAGTTTTTTGCTACTCCATTCCATTCAGGGACGTTGTAAGACCCAAGTTTGTTCATGTCACTCTATTTAAAAATGTAAGCTGGGTCTCTATTGCCTACAAAGCTAAGTCCCAATTCCTTAAAAGCATGGCTCACCAAGTGCTTAGCTATCTGGCGCCACCTGATCGTACCAGCATCATCTCCTGCCATCCTGCCCCACCCCATCCCCTTTTATCCAACTTCACTGAACTTCTCACTATTCCCCATCAACACATGCCCTTGCACAATGCTGGGCTTTGGCCCATGTTGTTTACCCTTTCTGGATTGCCAGCCCTCTCTTCTCCATCTGATAAATTCTTATTCATCAGCACAGCTCATCAACCTGTCACCTCCATGCTGATGACTTCCCTGAGCCATCCAGAGTTAGTCACTTGTTCTTTGTTCTCTTAGCCTTTGGCCCTTTCCTTCGGCAGTGACCATCTTGCATGCTTTTGGCCATCTAGATTCTTTTGAGCATCGGTGTTATGTTTGGCAAATTTTTAGCCACATGAATTCCATCTCTCTGAAGTAGAACCCAGAAAATTCAGATTTCCCTTGCAGCTAAGAAGCCATTAAAGGATCTGAGCTCCCTCAATCAGATGTACCTGAACGGAACTTTTTTTTTAGAAGTGAGCATTAGTGTGTAAGGGGGCAAGGTGTGGGGCTGATCTTCGGTCAAGAGTGATCAGAACAAGTCTTTGATTCTTGGGATGGCAGTAGCAGAGCTGCCTGTGTGTAGGCCGTACTGCGGAGAGGTGATAAGTGTGGTGTTTGCTAGACCAGCTCTCAGGAGTGGCTGGGCATGTTTGGGCTTCAGAGTCTGGCTCTCCAGCTTTGTGGGATAGTCTGTGAGCCATCTCACATGCCATAATAAGTTAATTTATTGCTTAAACAAGCCTAAGTTTGTCTGCTTTTGCGATGACTGGAAAACAGTGAAACACTTTGGTAGAACATATCAAGTTTTATGGTACAAGTTGTATTTTATCAAGTTGTATTTAAGTGTCTATTTCCCTCACTAGATTAATCACAAGTACTGTATCTTAGGCCTCCTATACGTAGTTCTAATTTCTTATATCACTCAGATAAAAAATCTATATTGGGTGCCAACTCTGTGCCATGTGCCATGCTAGTCACTGGGGATATAATAGTAAAAAAGACCCATGTGACCTTTGCTCTTACAAAGTAAACAGTCTACAAGATCTGTGCCTGAAACATTCTAGGTATCCAGTTAGTTTAAATACCAATTCATTTGATTAATTATTTCAATGAATGGATATTTACATTTTGAAAATGTAAAAATAAATGAGAAATGTCCTTACGTTTCTCTCAGGCTAATAGGAGACACATATGTAAACAAATAATGTCCGTGCGATATGGACAGTGTGATAACTGAAATATGTTCCAGATTCCTTGATGGTAGAAGGGAAAACATGAAGAATCTGCTTGGAGGAGTCAGGAATGAAAGAATGAATTACTGAACTTGTAACATTTGAGCAAATGTGCTTGAGAAGATGTCCTCTTTTTTCCCTTTATCCCTTTTATTTCTCTTTTCCCTCTTTCC